TATCCCTTTGAACTTAAAAATAAAAATGAACTTCAATTATAAAGGAAAAACATAACTTGTGATTAGAGCTTTCAGTGGATTATCTAAAGGTATTTAAATTCTACTTAACAGATATGCCAGCTGCCAACTAGAAATGTATAGTCTGGCTGAGTTTGAAGGACTATAACTGGGCCCTACCTAATATGATGTAATTAAATTAAAACTTCAAGAATAGCTTAAGTAGCAAGTGTGTTTGGGGAAGAGAACTGGCACCCCAATTTTCTCTGTGCAGTTTGGATTTACATTAGGTGGCATAAGAAGTGGCTGCCGATGCTAGAAAGTGTTAGGCACAGGCTTTGCCCTCTGGAAGTTTTTAATTGGCTTTGAAAAACCAAAAAAAATTCTAGATTCTAGAGTCCCTCAGGAGTGCGCAGGCCTTTTCACTGAGGCCAAGAGCCTGAAGCCTTCCTTCTTGAGATGGGTCGCCGCCGTCACAGGAAGAATAAAGCTACCGTCTTGCCAGTCCTTGGCTCCTTATGGGCTGTGCGGCCGGTCAGACCCGCCTGGCTCCTCTCTCGGGCTCTGCTCTGTGCTGCACTGCGGGTCAGCTTTGTTCTAGTTGCTGAGTTACTTGTGTATGACTCGCTCCCCTACCCCATCTGTGGATATTGTTAAGACTTTACTAGGAGTGTCTCCTTTAGTGTTCTGTTCTATGACCCATCCTTGAGTTTTCTCTTTTTTATTTATGTGAATTTTTATTTGTTAAAGCAGTAACTGACTGCAATTAAGTTTGGGATTATGTTTTCCTCGGGTTGCCTATTTTAGACCTTTTCTTTTCCTTCTCCAACACCTGGACCTTCATGATCTCTCCAGTCTTTATTTCAACTGCCTGTGAATTGCTCTAAAAAAAAATAGTAAAAAACTCCCAGTGTAGGATATGTAGACTTCAATACTATTTGGAAGATGAGTGTAATAACCTTTACATGATGATAGTGTGAACTGGAAACATGCAGCTATGAGTTCTTAATTAAAAGCTCTCCCCTTTCAGCAAATCCTCTAACCCACCCCATTATTTATTCACCTTCTCCTCCCACCTTGATAAAGCAACAACACAGCAAACAGGTGTTGTACATTTAAATCACAGGTAAGACTGTTAACATAACAACAGTTTGCACGCAACTCCGTGGAATGATACAAGAGGAGGAGCTGGTTGACATCAAAAGGTCCTCTGAGCCAGCGTCTGCGGAGGGGACAGCTCAAACCAGGCGCCAGATCACCACGTCAGCCCCGCCACAGTTGAGCTGAGGTGTGCCTTGGCTGAGCTCAACAGGCAGTTGTCAAAACAGCCTGAACAGACACGGCAGGTTCTGGGGTACCACGGGTTGCAGGGCAAGGGCTGTGAACAGGGTGGGGATGGAGGGGTGAAGCTGGGCTTGTGGGACATTTCAGGTGTTAGTACATTAAGCATGCAATTCATATGCAAAACCCATTCTCTAATTGTTGAATTAACTCAGGCACTTTCATAATTATACTTCCCTCTGCATTCCAATACACTCAAAGCAGAACTACAGCCAAATGCTGATCCAAATATTGACATCATCCACATAAGTCGTAGCAGCCATTTGGGAAAATAACCAGCCCTAGCACACACCACCTTAGTCTGGAAATCATCCTGATCTCTTATGTGATAACCACTTGAAGGAATTAGTGCATCCATTTAACTGTTTAGGCAGTGCCATCCTCTGCTCTCTTATTATTCCACTTTGTCCAGAAACCACAAGCCACCAGCTTTGGATTCAGGTCATCTGACAGGGCCTCGCCTGTGTGCGACGGCGGTTGGGGGAGATAATGATAGGTTAGAGAAACAGAAGCCTTAGTTCGTTTTCTCTGTGGCCTTGAAACACTGCTCCAAGTCCAAATATTTTGAAATTCCCTACAGAGACTGAATCCACCTTTCTGGAAATAGAAACTGAGTTTTGTCATACTTACTGCTACTTCTGGAAATTTATTTTCAAACAGAGGGAAATGTGTTCTTAAGACTGAATTTATAAAAAAATAAATTACTTTGCTTCTTAGAAATTCATGAACTTAACTTTTTTTAAACCTTAGATCTAAGGATAATTAGAAGACTCAGCTTGTAGGAGTTGATAGTTCTCTTTGGCATTAATGTAATGGAAACGGATGGACATTATTGTAAAGGGCCGGGATGGCCTGGGCCTCCAAGTGGGGTTCAGCTTTTCCCGGTTGAATGGCAGTGAAAGCAACAGTTCTGAGAACAAGGATGTATTGGGCCTCAACCACAGTGGAGGCTGCATTACAGCAGGAACAAGCCGTGGAGGAACTAGGAAGGTAATGACTATCTGGAGCAGGATAAGAGGCTGAAAAGCAAATAAGAGCTTTTGCCTTATTTGTCTCGTTAAATAGTACCTTCATATCTAGCTAATCCTTGTTATTTCTTCAGGTAAATTTAAAAAATATTTAATAATTTACCACTTAAAAAAAAGTTTACTAAATACCAAAAAAATCAAACAGACCTAAAAATGTCTTTTGCCTCAATTAACAGTTTATCATCAAACCTTATCTTTAGTGAAAAGTAGATATAAGCATGGGTAACAATGAGGCAATAATAGTTCATAGGAATAATAAAATGAAACAAGAAAGGCTTGGGATAAAATTCTGTCCTATTTTAAACTATTACTGACTGGCAATATTCTTTAAGAGGCTTAATTACAGAAGAGAAAATGATTTAAGATACTCTTACTAAATGTCAGACTCTTTTTTTTAGAGCTTAAAATACTTAAAGACAAACCTTTCTTTTCATTTCATATGTCCAATGGCCTGAGAATTTGGTCACAGCTTAAAACCTTGTGAACTTGGTGTGCATGTCTGTATGTATTTCCTTTACGACATATCAGTTACACAGAAGAAAATGTACATCATTAACTATCCCTTTGAACTTAAAAATAAAAATGAACTTCAATTATAAAGGAAAAACATAACTTGTGATTAGAGCTTTCAGTGGATTATCTAAAGGTATTTAAATTCTACTTAACAGATATGCCAGCTGCCAACTAGAAATGTATAGTCTGGCTGAGTTTGAAGGACTATAACTGGGCCCTACCTAATATGATGTAATTAAATTAAATGGCTCTTACAGCAACAGTATAAAGCCACTGGCTGAATTTCATTAGAACTCAGAAAAAAAATTCACAAAAGTGTACAGATAGATTTTTGTTGGATGGCACCATCTAAAATGCAACCTTTATGTTTGGCATTACTTCAAAAGGTGGTAAAGTTGCAGATGTCAGGGTGTACATGGCTCTCTCCCCACAAAAGGAAACTGAAGATATTACATATTCTATATTATCTGAGAATACAAAGGGGGAAACTGTCTCTATTCCTATTTTCTTCTTGAGAAAGAAGTTTCCTAAGGGTATCCATAAATAATTAAAAGTCATGATTATGACTTAGTTTTCTAACATGAAGAGAAAAGGTATGGTATTTTCCAAGCCCTGTGTTATTCTTCCAAAAATGTTTAAAAATTAGGATTTAATTGATTTTTTTAAATAGATGCTTTTAAATTGTTTCTACTTGGAACTGCTCCCACCTACCTGCTTATAAATTTAGATCTGAATATTAACAAACATTATTCTTTTTTTTCTCTGGAACACTTCATGAAAAACGAAAATGATTTTAAATGACAGTTGTTATTTTAAGGTTTCACTTTCAATAATTCTGACAAATATCAGAGATGAGCTACCCAAACATACAAGAGACACAAGCGATTACATTTACTTTCTGTCATCTCTAAGGCTTTGAAGAATGCTACAGAGAGCTCTATGCTTATAAATACATAGACTCATATTTGGATGTGAATGTAAGGAAAGGCCTATAAACATTCATGCAACACAAGAAAGCAGGATGCTTCAGTAGTTCTTTTATAAAATCTTCAGCAATAAAGAATGCTAGTTTGGTTAAATGTGGTTGGTTATACTGAATTTTTTCTTTTTGATAATAAAGAGCAGAGATGGCCACTTCTGCACATGAAAAAGTGCTGGTAACATTTACAGTTTCAGGAGGGATGCTGGATCACTGGAACATCAGTACCGGGCATTGTACAGACCCCAAGGTTCCCCAAGAGCCAGAACCCATGCACAGGAGGGGTGTACCTGATACGGCACCCCACAAGCGGCCCTTTGCATGCCACCCCAAGAGCTCTCTCAGTGATTCTCAACCAAATGTCTCAACCTCAGACAGCAGGCTATGAAATGGGAAAAATTTAACAGGATGTGAAAATAGCATTGTATTTTAAAATACAAAAGGGAAAAGACCAAGCATTAAAACGTTTACTTTCCAAATGAAATTTTTTTAGTATGCAAACGTGAAATGTGAATGTTCAAATATTAAGCGGCTCAGAGTAAAATGGGTCACGATTGCACACACATATCAAAGATTCAGTATTATCAAATGGAAAAAGGCTGAGAACCACTTTGTAGTGTAACGGTGTCTCTCCTGGCTATACTCCTCCCACATTTGCATAAAATTTATACAGAATATCATGCAAATCATACTCGAATATTTCTCACAAGTGAAGCGCATAAACCTTTGAGAGTTGTTAGACACGCTGGGTTTGAATAGCCCATGGACATGGGAAAGTACAAAATGGGGAAGGATGACACTGATATATATATGTAAATACATATATATCAATTTACCCTTGTCCTTCTTCCTGTAAAAGCAAATTAACACAGACACCTGAAATGAAAGCCAAAACTCACATGGGACAGGTTTGAACTACAGACTTTAAAACCAAATATGTTTCTCATTTTAGGACAATGTTTGCACGTTAACTAGTCACAAGGCACAGTGAATGAAGTATAATAGACAAAAATCTCAGGAGTCATTAGACATCACAAATTTTCTGCATTACCAGGACATAGTACCTATAGCTATTGACAACACTTTGCAACACATTACATAGCCCAAGGTCAGGAAGAGAAAATAACCATTTGTAACCTTACATTATGAACCTGATGGATGGCTGAGAAAGGAAATCCAGCGTTCTGATTCGTCCATATCTCACAGACAGACGACTGCTGATATAAACAGAAAACTATCTCATCTTGTCAATATTTAAAACAAGGCAGCTACTAAGGAAGCATCAAGGATGGGAAGGAAAGAGGAAAATAATAAAAAACAAAGAATCACATTTCTTAAAAAAAACCCAGAAACTCAAAAACTGTTTTAGGATACCCAAGGCTTAATAATTGACTTCCAAGTTATTCTTTTACTTAAAAACATTTTGGGTTGGCTGGAAAAAAAAAAAGACCATTTATGTATTAGTTTTATACCAAGGGAAATTACGATAAATTCACATCTGGGAAAAAGCAACTGTATTTTACTTTTGCCAAGGAAAGCAGAAATACCTTCCCTCTTTCACATCATTCATTTCAGAGGATACACATTTTCATGAAGTTCAAGAAAGAGGGGAAAAAGCCTTTAACACAGGTCACTATTTTTATTTCCTTATTTTCAATGACCAAGAGCAAACAATGCAGTAAAATGACTTTCCTGATTTAATCATTGCTCCATGTGATAAACCTAGAAGAGATTTTTCCCTCCAGAGTTCTCGGGGGCAGAACTGTGGTCAACAAGGTGTGTGAGGCTACCACCCAGCAGTGGGGGCGTGGGGGGCAGAGATGGAGGGGGCCGGAGCGGGGAGGGCTCGGGGCCGGGGAGCACAGGTGTGACTCAAGCAGAAGCTCTGGGGAACAGCATTCATGAGCCTAACAAATCAGCTCCATGATTCCACCCACCACTACCAGTTCAGTAATCAACAATTATTAAAAGGCAATAATGTTTATGTAGAACCAAACACCAAAGTGACCTACACACCCTCTCCCAGGAGTTACAGCAGAAACCACCCAATCAACCAACTAGGCTCCTGGCTTGATCTTTACAGAGTTCTCCTCCTAAATCCCATCATTCTAACAGACATCGTGACATTGAATCACAGAAAATGGCAGAGTGCCTAAATTTACTCAGCAAGCACTGTGAACGCACCCCGAGTTCACAAGCAGGCTGTACAAAGATCATGCAGGAAGGCGAGAAGAACATAACGGATGAATTATGGAAAAGAAAGCTTATCCCCGGCTAAATGTGTCCCCCACCTCCACCCTCCAGTAGTGCTCACCAGAAACTTAACATCTTTCTCTCCAGTTACAATGGCATCTGTACACACAACTACCCCTTTGCTTTCCATCCCTTCTGTCACATGCATGGCTCACTGGGGACAGATTGTCAGGTAACTGGCATTATGTTAAGAACACTGACATCCCTGAGGGGGTCTGATGAAAAGCACCTCCGACCACCTCCCACTTAAACCAGCTTTGCTAGTCTCAGTTCTCTCCCTAAATTTTCTCCTCAGGGAGATCTTCATTTTCCTACTGTTCAAAAATTAAATCTCTAGCAAGTCAAGTCTTGGGCCCTAAGTCAAGTCTTAAACCCCGGGCCTCGTCCCAAATAGCTGTCGTCTGATTTAAGCAATTAGCTCCATGCTTTAGTGGGCTTACCACCTCAACTGGCACGGAACACACTTCTAGGACCCTCTGACCTTTCAGTGCCCTCCCTGGGAGTTCTGAGTTAGGTCTATTACACAGATGACAGCTACAACGTCCACAGACTTCAGTGCCTTCTAGCAGTGACCTCCTGTCATCTGACAGATGAAGACACTGATATTCGGAGAGATAAGTGGCTGGCTCAGGCCACCCAGGGGAGTGTTGTGACACATCAGCCAGCTGGAATGGCTAGCAAGGACCGCATGAGGTCCTTGGAGGGCCATGCCGGGGGAGGGGCTGGGTGGGGTCCCCACTGCACAGTTCCTGATGCCAGAGATCTGGCTCTGGCTTGATGTCCTCCAAGGCCACTCAGCCCTCGCAGCACACATGACCGTCCCAGCCTCGTGGGGCAGGCTGTTCTGCGTCCATGCCCCTTCTCTGTCAGACACACCCTCCCATTCTCTCTTCCTCAGCTCTGGCTGGTGTCACATGCATGTGCCTGCACAAGTCCAGCAGTGATCAGATGCCAGTTTCCCCTCCAGCAGGCTCCCCACTCTTGGGAAATACTCTCAGTAGGCCTGGCGTGCACGGGGACATGCTCTCACCTTCCTGGTGCTCTTTCCACACTGGCTCAGACAATTCTCTGCTTTGCCCAGCACCAGTCTTCTGCCTATATGGACAGGTAGCTGATTGTGGGTAGGATTCACCACCTTAAACCCTGAAGAGGGGTGTCTGGTTCCGTTATTGACAGCTCTCTCTTTAGAATGTTTGGTACTTAGTACCTATAGGAAATTTCCCACTTAGCATCCTGTTACATGAATCTATCTTCTAACAGTCACAGGACATGACTAGAGGGTTAAGGAGGGAACGGAAGGACATGATTATACTTTTAAAAATCCATATGAAAAATTTCTCAAAGAAGGAAAAACCCACCTGTAGTCATATGCACTGAAGAGAGTTCATATGGAACTCATACACGTTAGAGAAGTTACAACTATTTTTCCTGTATAAGTTATTAATTTATAATTTCATTTATAAGCTTTAAACTTCAAAAAAGAAAAACCTCTATAATCTCTAATGATTACACGACTCCATGCTAACGGTAAAAAGTCAGATTTTTAGGGTTTAAAATTAAGGCAGTTAATTGTGTTTTAGTTATGAAGGTTGTAAAAAAAATAAAAGGCTGATACAGTTAAAAAATTGAGTAGGAGTTTGAGAAGGACATTTGGTCAAGGGAAGGAGTGTATTTGCTTTTAGAGGAAGATATTGCAGCACTTTTCGAGAATGTTCCAGTAAAGAGAGAAAAAATGGATGATGATGGAGAGAGAAGTTATGGTAAACTACAGATTGTTCCCATTAGATACCCATCAGATACCCCAGTAATTCCATTAGCAGTAAATAACTGATCAGGTCACAGGGCAGTAACTTCAGGCAGACCCGCTATAACCGCTGTCTTTATAAAAAGACATGGCTCTTCTTCTAGGCACATGGTCATTAGACTGAGAGCTGGAATGAAGTGTTTAAAGGCAGGAGTTTCCACTGCAGAATTTCATTATATTTATGAAGACAATATTTCAGAGGACATGTACTGAAATACTGAGTTTTGAAATGTTTTGAAAAAGAATATACCAATGATAAAATTTCATCTGGGGCCCAAATTCCTAGAACAGCAGCGATGTAAATCTAAGTGTTAATTAAGCTTTATAATGTCTTCATCTGTAAAGAATAATAAGAGCACTTGACCTTCTTTCTTCACCAGGTTGTGGTGCAGCTTATGTTAAGCTTCATGAGAGAGGGAACTTTTTCACAGCTCAGTTTCTAGGGCCCAGAACGCGGAGGGCCATCAAATGTATTTACTGAATGAACGGAATCATAGAGGGTGTTCAAAATTTCTTGGCAAGCGGTAAAGCACCACAGGAGCATGAAATACTTTTTTTCCTTATCACTGGTAGTTGGTCCACTTCATAGCTGCCACTTGTGCCTTTAGTAAACTAGGTCACTGCCAATACAATTCCAGTAAAATGCACCGGAGATCAGCCTTGCAGACTTCTTGTTAGAGAAGTTCTCGGTTTTCCTGATAAAGGTTGGAAAAGAGCTGCTGGCTTTGTTGAACAATGAAGGAACATATGTCAGTAGCGCACCTATATGTTAAAGGGCTTCTGGTACAGAGCTTGAAAACAATTCTGTAAAAGGATGTTAAACACCCCTTTGCAACTTCATTTGCCTATTGGTTTTCTCTCAATCCCTTTCCCACATACACTGCAAAGGCTACTTTAGTTTATCTGAACCAGAATTACCATGGGGGTTAAGTAAAGATATACTAATCTTCTAACTGAGACATAATCAGTGATTTAATGTTTATTTCTTTGATAATGAGGTCAACACACATTTGAAAGTATATTATTTTTATTCAGATCTCTTGCCTGACCCTGGAAATGTTTTCTTAAAATATAATCTTGCTCTTGTTACCACCATGTATTTTACGTTACCATGAATTCAGTTCAGAAAATACAATATATTTACAATCAAACCAAATGACAAAATAAAAACATATGACCTATCACCAAGGTTTTCCTCTTAAAGATGGAGTTCTTTTCTGCTCAATGGGAACAATCTGCAGTTTACCATAACTTCTCTCTCCATCATCATCCATTTTTTCTCTCTTTACTGGAACATTCTCGAAAAGTGCTGCAATATCTTCCTCTAAAAGCAAACACACTCCTTCCCTTGACCAAATGTCCTTCTCAAACTCCTACTCAATTTCTGTTCTTTAGGAGACAAAACTCCCAGGGGGTGTCTATACTGTCTCCAGTTTCCTTCTTCCTGTCTTCACTTGAGCTCACTCCCCTGAAACTGTTTTTCTTAGTCACCTTCCACTCTGCCAAATCCAACTTTCCATTTTCCTCGACTTACTGACACACTTGATCATGCCTTCCATTTCTGAGTCTCCTTTGCTGGTTCCTATGACCTGATCAGCCTCTTGTCTCCAGAGCCTCAGCCCTCAATCCATTTCCCTAGGTGGTCTGGCTGTCGCAGGTGGTCTCATTCAGTCCTGACTCCCACATTTCTATCTCCATCCCAGACCCCTCCTCTGAACCCCAGACCCGATATTCAGCTGCTTCCTTGACACCTCTACTTGGATGACTAACTAATAGGCATCTCAGCCTTACATTAAACAAGCTCTTGATTACCTTGCCTTCCCTCTAGCTTTCTTATCTCAGCAAATGGCACCCCCTTCTGCCAGCGGGAGATGTCCTGCTCTCATTTCACATGAAACCCATCAGCAAAACCTATGGAATCTACTTCTAAAATCCTGTCACCCTCCTGTCACTACCTGGTCCAAGCCACTTCCTTTCCTGACTTGGATTATTCTGGCCTCCAAACTGGTCTCACTGCCTTCATCCTTGCCACTTCAGTGCTTATACTAAATACAACAGCTGAAATGATCCATTTAAAACGAAAGCGAGATCATGCCGGTCTGCTCTGTTTACCTCAGAAGAAGTTCAGAGTCTTAACAGCAGGCTGCAAGGATGCCC